GTCAGTTATCAGTCTACATGTGAATGCATTGTGGCCATAAATTACAGCTCTGTGTGGGAAGATGGGCGAAGGCAGCCAGAGGCTATGAAAGAGAACGCGGGCAGGTATGTGGGGGACGGAGGTGTTAATGGGAAAAAATAAAGAGCACAATGCAGTGCTGTGAGTTTGTCAAAGAAGCAGACAGGCTTCTGATGCATTTCTGCCAAAAAAAAAAAGGCCGACTTGTCTGTGAGGCAGCGAGGTAAGCTTTAATTCATTGTTCATTTTCATTCCTCTCTTACCAAACTGAGGCTCAACTCAAGCTTTTAAGCAGGGCATCACCAGAACTCCTCTGCTGCATACATATTCTAAACAGGGGTAAAATTCAAGCTCAAATATACATACTTTTTTTTTTTTTACCTTTTTATTATTGATAAGCAAACCACATAAAAATGCAAATATAAAAAAAAGAATTGGGCTGGTTAAAATAAAACATGCAGAAAACACTAAAGGGAAAGTTAGGTAAATATTTTTTTTTCTATCAGAATTTATATTTGAAGCTCAAAATGTCCAATAAAACTCTAAACGGGTTTAAAAAACAACATACACAGCTAAAAACGTGAATTTATAGAGCAGAAAATTCCCCACTAGTGTTCCCTTTACAGTTTCTATGTGGATCATGTTTGCTCTCTCACAAAACATTTATTTTAAAATGGTAAATAAATTAATACATGTTTGCAATCTGTTTGTAATTACATGTAATAACAATTGCTTACAAAAAAAAGAAAGAAAAACTGTAAAGATCAGTGTAAAATCTTTCCTTGTTTTAAATCAATCCCTGCTCATTATAGCTAACAGCTTTTTTCCATGCCCCAACTGGTATTTTGATTACTTTTTGTTCTGATGAACTTTGAGTCTGCAAAGATGTAGGGCCTCCTTGCAACATTAGGCTCATTATTCTAATTTGTTTAGCTACCTCCACATCATCCCGATCAGATTCAGGTCACTGCCCTCGCTGGGGTCGCCCCAAAACATGAACCTCAACTCAGAAGAATCATGTTGGCAAATGAAAAGATTACATCAAACCTGAATATCAAATATGAACAATTAAATGATCCATGAACTGATGGGACAAAAGTGTGTTGCCTTAAATCTAGCATAAACTAACAGCATTTTTAGATAGAAAACATGGTAGTAGTGTGGCTGCATATAGACGCTGACTTTCTACAACTGAAGGGAACAGGAGTTCTGTTCTCTAGGCCCGATAGTTTTAGATCTCCAGCACACATTTTATTAGAAAATTCAGGTTCACGTCTGAATATCAATAAAAATATTAAATAATGTAGTTTTTTAGAGTGGTCTAGTCAAAGTCCAGAATAAAATCTGACTGAGAGGGTGCTGAATGACTTTAAGCAGGACAGTCATGCTGGAAAAGCTCTACTATGGCTGTTCTAGAGCTATGCTGCAGAGTCTGTCCAAATGATTTCACAGTGATTTAAAGAGAGTTATCTTAAAAAATTTGATTGTAATGAAAAAAGTAAGAGAGCTGGAGAAGCCCAGGATGGGTTGAATTACATTTTTATATTAATAAATTAAACCACCATATTTTCAAACATTCATTTTATATCTGCTACTTGGAAGAGTGTGCCTTTTTTATGTAATGTACTGTTTATATATGGAAATTTCATGAAATTTTTATTCCTCTGAGTGGTTTATGTCCAAGAACACCTCTTGTTTCAAACTTTGTAATATGAGAAAATTATAGGGGTGAAAGAGGCTAAGCACTCCAGTTAACCCTGATAGTATCTCATTTCATCCACTTTGACCTCAGTCTGTCTCTAGAAATTATTCATTAATCCCCTTTAATTTGTCTGCTTTCTCAGCTCTACTGACTCTGTGAACTCATTTCAAAATGCTCCCCGACAGTATCCAAACTAACGCTAAAGTACCAACATGCTTCTGATTTGTTATTTTAATAAAAAATATTGAAACAATTATTTTCTTATTCTCTGCTGTTGTTATTGTGGGTCAAATATCTCCAATTGAATCAGCAGCTTTTGCATGTCCTTTGCTTTTCTTTGCATTTACACGGTTCTGTCACATACACATTCTGTCCTCGATCAGATCAAGGGGTTAGTTTCAGCACCTAACCTCTGATTTTTGTGCACACATGAATCCTGCATGCACAGGTTACCATGCCAACCAAAGCTCCACCATTGAATGTAGACTATGCATATTGCTGCAATTAGCTGTGTAGGAAGTGAACACAACTGCTGCAGTTTGTGCTGCAATACCTGGGGAGCAAAACGATTAAAAGACTAAAAGAGTTCAACATATTTCTGCATTTAATACCCCCAAGACTCTGAAGTTATATAATTTTAAGGCTGACATGTTGCCCACCACATTAGTGTTATGTTATTCTTTAAAAGGTAATTTAAGGAGGAAATATCTATTATATCAAAAATGTAAAATATTTTTCAAGTTATTTTGTATTATATTTGGAGGTAAAATAAACGTTGAGTCACTGTTCAGCCAAAGGCCATCTTACAAATGAGTCAAAAACGGCCAAATGTCCACATATTTCACACATATGGGTAAACAGCACAGCTCTACAGTGCGTGATGTCACAGCTACATGACTACTAACTGAACATTTGACACATGTTGCCTCCTCCACAATACCTTTAACATTTAGGAATTGTGTCTATTAGGTTTTTGTCTTACTAGACTCCCTATTAATGTAATAATTATACAACAACACTAAAGGTGTGTCATTATCGTTATCTGATACACCAATGTCCTTATCAGCATCCTGCAATGGCCTAATAGAGAAATAAAATACTCTTGAACATTTTCCCCCCAATGAGTTCAACATTCCTCGTCAGACTTTGATGGATCGTATCCAGTTGCACTAAAAAAAAAAAAATGTAAGTATTTAACAGATGGTAAAAGGTCAATTAAATTCTCCCTAAGTATTACACAGTACAAACATGTTTTCACAAAATCAACATGAAATCTAAAAGAATAAAAATATTTTCTTAACTTTAATTCACCCATCGTTGTAATGGTGAGGGAAATTATTGGCTAATTCTAGCAAAAAGATTTTTTGTCAGTTTATTTACTTTGGCTTACTGATAGAAACAAAACAAAAAAAGCAATGATTGCTGTGAAACGGATGTTAATATTACTCCTCTTCCCTTTCAGTATATTTTAAGGAAGTACTTGTTCTGGTACTGGAATGCATAGCAAGTGTTAACATCTATGAAGCACAGAAATGTCAAACTACTTTCAAGTTGAATTCTTATAGGACTGTTGATTTATTATTTTCTACAGACAGACAATAAAACATTATATTGCAGTAAGACAATTTATAAATAGCTTGTATTTCAACAAGAATTCTATGTTAATTTAGCTAGCTAGCTACATAGCTTGTAGATGCATGTTTAGATTCAGGTAAATATGTTTATACTTACAAATTCTTACAAGTTTCCAAAATTTGCAGTTTTACAAGTAATCAATACCTGATTAACAAGTTAGCATGAAAACAAGCAATTAGGCTTAAGAGTTCCTATTTCTTGATCTATCTCTATAGTTATGCTGCTATAGGCTTAGACTTCTGGAGGACATAGGGACCCCTATTTCACCATTTTGATTCTTTCCATCTCTATTGTTCCACTCTGCAGAATCTGTTAGTTTAGTCTCTAACGTTATGCTCTCTCTGCCTTTTCTCATAGTAGCTTTGCCTCATTTGTTCCTGTTTGGCTGTGACACCATCCTGGAGAGAAATATCAGCTGTCCAGCTGCCATCAACACCTTTGTTTCTAGATGTTGGAGCTTGGCCTGTTTTTTTAGTGTCCTGTTTCTCTGACTGTGACTGGCTGGATGTGCTCCCTTCATCCTCTGACATGGGAGTTGGCTCCATGCTAGTCTGCCTGGCTGGGTGTTTCCTGGACGGGGCACCTTTTATAGTTGCCTTTTGTATCTCTGCTTCTGCCTCCTTGAACCCCAGTCGGCCTCGGCAAATGGCCGCTCACACTCAGCGTGGTTCTGCTGGAGGTTTCTTCCTGTTGAAAGGGAGTTTTTTTCTCTCTCCACTGTCGCTACAAGCATGCTTAGTGTGAGTCAATGCAATCAACTGGTTTTCCTTAGATAGAAAACTTTGAATCAATTTGACTGTATGATCTGGTGAATCGTAAAGTGCCTTGAGATGACGTGTTGCGAATTGGCGCTATATAAAAAAAACTTAATTGAATTTTAACAGATATTACAGTGACATAAGCATTTTTCTATATAATACAAAGGGAACGTTTTTCAATATTTGAAAGATTTTACTCGGTTTAAACAAGAGTATTTCACCCTAGTTGGGTGGATTACCTTTTATGCTTCAGTCAAATGTTTTAATGATTTATTTAAAAAAAAAAATAGTTCAAGCATTAATGTTCAATAAATACATAATACACAGACTTAACTTTATTGATAAATAGGTTGGCTAGGTACCAATGTCTGAATTGCTTAAGATGCATATATAGGTTCTAAAAAAAACAAAAGTGAATTCCCAAATTTAAAATGCATTTAAATGAAACATCAGCATCTTTTAAATCATTATAATAGCTCATATTTTCTCTAAATATCGGTTTCACAAGAAAGCTTATCACTCATTTTTAAGTCAACTAATCAATTAGCTTGGACACAAGTGAAGTCTTGATGCTATTAAAACAATTAAGAGTATGATGCTTTTGTTTTAACTATTCTTTCTTCCGATATCAAAGTCACATCCTAGATTATCTCACTTTCATAAAGAACCATTAACATAGCTAATTAGCATAGGAAATGTAATAAAAAAAGATTTTTAAATGAGATTCTTTGAAAAAAAATGGCCATTTGTCAATTTACAATTGTAAAGGTAGAAATGTTTTTTCTATTATTTGACACATAAAATAGGTTATTTTTGTCTACTATTAACTATGGTCATTATTTCAAGCATAAAGACGGGCAATGACAAATTAAAAGTCAACAATGTAGTAAGTCAACAATGAGTTTTTTTATTTTATCCGGTTTATACAGTTTTGGTTCTGTAGCAACCTACTGGATAAATCTAATGAAGTGCAATTGTACTCAAGCCAGTTACAGTTTAGAGCAATGACAGGCACAAGTTTTGTGCAAATTTAACAGCATTGGAACGGCTCCTACACAGACATCGCAAAGAATACATGCCAGAGGAAAACAACGCTAAATCAGTTTACATTGACAACAATTAGGAAGACGTCCCATGACAACAAAATCAATCCAAGCTAAGAGTCGATAAACATTTCACCCACAACTGACAAATGGGGAGACAATAACTCAGTAAACATTCAGTCTTTATGCACAGCAAGAAATGTGTTGTGTTATCCGCCCCCACAGACCAAAACCCTCCAATCTGTCCAATCCCAAAAATCCTCAATTCAAAAATTGTGCATTGCCTTTTTCTAAAAAAACAAAACAAATGAAACTTACATTAAAAAAATAAAAACCAAATGTTTTAAAAGAAATTGTAACAGATTATCCTCTCAGTTGTTCTTCTGTTAAGGACACAACACTTAAAATGCTTGGTCTGGCAAAACACTGGCGACCAAAAACTAAAACTTAAGGTGCTGCAAGTTTCAAAGTATCACAAGTCACAAGAGAAAACACAACCATCTGCAACACAAAGATGGTGGCAGCCTTGTTAAGTTTGAGCTTCATCTAATCCTGCTATATTAGCAATTACTGGGACAAGAACCGTTACAGCGATGTCCAAGACTGAAAGCTAAAAATGTTAATTATTTGCCTTCAAGACGAGATTTACTTTGAATTCTGATGCAAGAAAATGAAATGTGAGCAATAAACCTTCAAACATGCAGTAACACAGGATCATAAATAAATCTAGGTAGGAGAACCACGACAACCAGTCTGTAGTCTTCTAAGACGGATATTACAGGCTAAGGTCTGTTTGTGCGAGCCCTAAATGCTCTATCCTTCACAGTGAGTTTACGATTTGACAAACTAAACCTTTCTAGAAACGCCTACACGCACTTGCGCCTCTTCCAGAGTGTAAAGTGTGTTCGGCAATGTGACATCTTTTCTGAACGCGGCTGCTAAGTTTCACCCTCAGCTAGAGGTTTAACAAATTAAAGAAACACATAAGAGGATTTGTATCTCGTTTGGTCAGGGTGACAGATTTTCCAACAAATCAGTAACTGAAAAGATTTTTTCCCACCTTGGTCAACTTTCCCTACGATGATCTTAAGATGAATGGTCGTGCACAAGGTTTGTCGTTACTATCTAATAAGGTCTGGCAATGTCTCATGAAGGAAAGCAGATGAACCACTACATTCTAGAGCTTTCCTTTATTATACAATCAAGGGCCACATTGAAATCTTTCACAACCTAGAATCAACAAAAACTACTTCAGTTGCATTCAAATGGCAACTATCGAAAAGTAAACTTACTGTAACATACATATTATATAAGTGTATAGTCCATGCAGTGGCGCACGGCAGATTTTGCATCGTTATGGTATGTCATAAGTGTATGGGAGACATCAGCCACCAGTGCATTTCCAATTTAGGTTTCAGGGAGGAAAAACTCCTCGACACTCATCGGAAACTCAGCCAGACTTGAAGAGCAAAATGGCCACTTGGCCCAAGTAAAAGTAGATAAAATGCTTTGTCTCGTGAGTGACGTAGCTGCCAAAGTTCCTCCCAACGATGCAGTGCCAGGTTGGGTTGTACTTCTTGTCAAACTCCTAAAAAACACAGACAAGAGGAAAGGATTATTGGCCATTATCTTTAATGCTAAAAACACTAGCATTTATTAAGAGCAAGGCATGCTTTGTTTACTATTAATGTAAACTTTTTAATCTTTGCATTAAATCCCTTTTTCATTTAAAGCCAAATTTCCGACAAACTAATAGGTAAGTCGTCAAATATTTAACTTTTTACAACACAGACATTTTTGCTTTTCTTCCCGTTTTACATTCATATCAAACATAGAATAAAAAGCATTAGAATAAAAACCTTTACAGGAATTAGCTGTTTCTGATAACTGACAATTAGTCTTTGAATTATTTAAATTTTTTACCATTAAAGGCCAGTTGAGCTCATGCCATAGCAGCTCCCCTTTAGTCAACTGCAGGCTTTAATTACTTCCACCAATGATTCTGTCCATTGTCCACTAGCACCATGTTTGACTCTTGGTATGAGGATTTCTTTTATTTTAAATCGGGTGAATTGGGGGAACAGCTTCTTGTTAATCGCTGGAATATTCTCGTGAATGTTAACTTTAACTTGTTAAAGTAAGTCTTCAATGCTTTTCATATTGCTCTGGGTTAATTGTTTGACAAACTTTATAAGCAGACGTCGGTAATAACTAGTTACATTTACTCTGTTACGTTTACTTAAAGGTATAGTGACGGATGTGGTTTTTCTTGGTGGATCATCTAAATAAGTGGTCCTCCTAATTGTCAGTCACTCTGTTGATTTGTTTACGTAATGCCGTCTTATGTGCTCATCCCCATTTTCACTTACTGGTTTTAAAAAAATTGCAAATCTTCTTTTGGGAAGTAAGCTTGCATTAGCAATGCAAACAGCAACTTTTAAACAGCGTGCACAAGGAGAAATGGGCTCATGCACGCTCTCGCACTCGTTTAATATATGCGTTCCCTCTCAGGAACAGATACAGGATTGTGCATGTGCATCTTTTTTTGAAAGTGGAGATTGCGGGTCTCCTCAAAAATTTGCAAAAAAAAAATCCTCCACTATACCTTTAAGAAACTTTGAGAAAATTTTTTATTTTTTTGTTTTACAGCACTGCGCTCTTCTTTTTTACTTGAGCAAAAATCTGATCAGTACTCTTGAATAAATTTATGGCTACTCCATCCATAGTGAGTAACTTCACTCAATGAAAACAAGCTTGAAGTATACAAATATATTTATTGGTTAAATATTATTTCCCATTTGCTGATTCTGTCATGTCATTTCAAAATTGAGTGAAAATACTGTTAACAGTGTACCATAATTTAATGCATTCTTACTTACTGTAAGTATTGTTTTTATGCGTTTTTTGAACTCAAAACATTCATTTTGAATAGTGTTTATTCAACCAAAATATTTACTGTATAATTACTGTGATATGTGAAATTTGTTTTTTGTTTTTTTATGAATAACTAATAAATATTTTGTTCAATTTTACATCATTTTGTAAAATATGAATTCTGATCATAGCTTCTTTACCAAATACTTTTTACTCCTCAGTAATTTCTTTAAAAGTTACTTTTTGCTTTTACTTGAGTATAAAATTTGCTGAAGTAGTTCTACTCTTACTTGAGTAACATTTTTGCGTACTACAACCACTGTTTATAAGACTTTTGGAGTGATTTTGGTTGGGTGAACAATGATGGGAAAATTGTTACTCATTTTATGAATTTGTGCTTTTGTTTCTCAGCTGTTCTGAGATCTTTTGATAGGAACATTGTGCTGCTTTTTTGAGACGCGTTTCTCTACTTCATGTTGTCAGGCAAGTTCTACTTAGGTGATGTCGCTATACTTGAGGCCTGGCGGCCATAGACATGAATAGGTAGATGCCTCTTAGGGTGCTGGCTTAAACATTAGTGTCACCGCCATATTGAATATGGCAGAGAGGAGCTACCGGGAGAGATCGTCGATCAGGACAGATGGTGGAAATGGACCAATACGTTTTATAATATAATCAAGATATGCTGGGAGTGGATATAAAAGGCTAGAATGAAAAAAAAAATACATATTTTTATCCTATATAAATAAAATTATTTAAAAAATACTTTATTTTTTTGTGATAACATCCTTTCATCCTGCTCATCACAATGTGAATCTCACAGGAAAACCAGAAAACAAGAAAAAAATATTTTCTAGACACTAGAGTAAACTACTCAACTCTTTTTTTACTCTGTATCTTTCCAAAAAATAAATCTTTAGGAATGCAATGGAATTCGGGTATTAAAAAAGAATATGTGCCATATTCTTTTTTATGGAATAAAGGTACAAAATTATTAATATTAAAAGGAAAAAAGTCAGGAGAACAAAATAAAAATATAATGAGACAAAGGGGATACCATTGCAAAACAAAAACAATATAGATATATTGTGAGAATTAAGTGGTAATATTGGGAAAAACCATCATGGGAATAAAGTCAGAACATCAGTCATACAGTCCTTTGAAGAACAAGTTCAAAGTCCTTTAAAATAATGAAGTAAACAAAAGAAATAATCTGAACATAACTTAGCATCCATGCACACCAGCAATTTAATTCAAAATGCAAGATGAAATGTGCATCAGCATTGGAGCATTAGTGTTACAGGCCGCTGCCAGAGTCTGACAGTCCAAATGAGTGACGGTCACCAAACACACAGGTAACCTTAGACAAGACTAATTAGACCGGAATCTGATAAGAGCTAAAACTTCAAGTATGTATAACTTATACCAGGCACGCCCAAAGTCGGTCCTCAAGGGCTACTTGATCCGTACTGGAAGCACGAGCCGTACCATCAGCTCATTTTTTCTGAGAAAATAAATTCCTTAAAATCCTTTATGTTGCATCATTCGTCTGTGGCCAATCTGAAATGCAATCCTACACTACTTCCGAGAGCTAACTTTTTCGATTTTCGTCTTTTTGAGTTTTATGTTTTCCTTTCGTGTTAACATTATGGTGTATAGTTCGTAACCTAAAGAAAAAAAAAACAACCAAAATGCATATAAACATAGTTTAATCATATTTTGCCAGACTGCTCTGAGCATGTCTGATGATGACGTCAGACAAGAAGTTTAATGGAGAAAATGTAAAAAGACTCAAAATTGTCCCAGAAAAGTCATAAAACATTTTTTAAAGATGTGCATCAGAATTCTTTAGTGAGTTAATGATAGAAATAATAAATTTTAGTACCATAAATACATTATTTATTGAAACCCGGATGTACATCTGGTAGCGTATGCACAAATGAGCCGATGGTACGGATCCTGCTTTAGGGACGAATCGGGTAGGGACACCACTGTCCTGCAGGTTTTAGAGGTTTCTCTGCTTTAGCACAGCTGATTCTGATGATTGCAGTTCAGTAAAAGCCTGTTAATCAGCTATCAATGAAAATCAGCTGTGCTGAAGCAGGAAAATTTCTAAAACCAGGTTGCCTGACTTATATATAAAAAAGCCACATATTAGGGCAATTAAAGACAAAACTATCAATAAAAAAAAGATTTTTTTAAATTAGTTTACAGATAAAGGACATACATCCATCAATTCCCTGCTGACCAGTGGAGCAGATAGCCCAGCTAATTAACCACTTAGATGGTTGGATGCTCCAGTTACTGCCTGATAACACCATAGCTCTACTTCTAATCTTAACACTGGCACCCTGTGGTGCTCATTCTGGATGTACCAGCTCCATCCAAGCTGAAATCGAATCACATAAACACTCTGCTGATCTGCATGTGGACCAGATTATGACCAAATTGGATTTAAGAGAACAAACTGTTTTGGGCCAGGGAGCAGATTTAGACCTTTGCTGAGTTTTTTAACCAAAGTGATTTAAATATTTTTAAACTTTTTGCACTTTGTTGATGATGATGGAATGATTGTATTCCACATAAACCTGACTTCCATTCCTGGCTCACCTTTTTGATGTAGGCAGCTATGTCCTTCTCTATGTTGTACTTCTCCATGGCCTGGGTGGCACAGTCCACTGCGTCCTGCTGCATGTCCTCCGACATGTCCGCGTTCTTGATCACTGCTTTTCTGTCAGTCATGGTTCAGGCTGCTTGCTGGGGAAGAAACAGGGAAACTGACTCTACACGTGGTGGAGATGTGGATGGGGATGGGGTCCCTACACGCCGGGGCCAAATCCTCCCTATTTCCAACGCAGAAAGCCTCTCTGTGCGGCGGCTTTGATCGCTTCAATGAAAACATTTACCTGGACTCTGTGCTTCTACGTCACATCATCTCCAAACTGCGGGATTAGTTTTGCATACATTTGCTGTGAAACTTGATACAGGTGGAGTTAAATTACTTCGCTATAAATACATTTGCGTCAAAATTGAAAGAAATACGGATAACAGTTTAGTTAATATTCTTGGGTGACACACATTTGGGGAAAAAGGGGAGATTAAATATGCAAATAAACACTCAACATGCAATAAGATGTACAGTACAGAAGATGATCACATAAAGATGCCAAACATTGAAGTGAATCTTCTAGATGAGGGCGGCGCAACTCACCTTTTCCTGCGCCTCTGATGGAGGAAAAAAAAGGATCCTTGTGTTGGAAATGTTTATTTTAAAGAGTCGGTGTTGGAAGGTTGAGATGATGCTGCTGCTAATTGTTTTTTTTTTTTTTTAAGATTTACACAATAAGCGTTGAAGGTAGGTTGGCTCTGCGCTGCGCTGCTCCCCGCCCCATCTGCTGCATGGCGAGCGCTGCCATTGGCTGCGGCGCTGCTTCCAAACGCGGCGCGAGCGTTTTTCTCCAGCTCCTCTCTGTCTGCATCTTATTTCATCCCATAATGCATCATTCACAGCATACGACAGCGACTGGAAGATGAAGTGGAAAGTGGACCGCGCTTGGCTAGGAGGATGTCGTTTGGCCTGCAGCGCAGCTGGGGCCCTTTGAACGCGCCTCTAAATGTTAGTGCGCCACATTTCCTTGATTTGAAGAGCATGCATATTTATTAAACTAACTGGAAAACACTGCCACACACAGAACCAGGATACAACTATACATCCTAAGATGTTTGACTGTTCACAACTGCTTATTATAAAGTATTAAATTATCCTGATATTTACTCCCAAGTGGGAGACTGAACTTGAATAACGTCAAATTTCAGAAAGGTTATCCATCCCATGCATGACTGTTGCAGGGCTTCAAAGCTCCTACACTAATGTCTACTGTGATGACAATGTTTACTCAAGTACAAGTCCAGATACCATAGTGAGCGGTTCTAGATGAGGGCCAACAGGGGCCAGTGTTCCTGTAGAACTGTCCCCGGTTCTGAAACCATAAACTTTAAAAATTTAAGATTGCAATACATATTACCTAGACCAGGGGTCTTCAACGTTTTCCTGGCCCAGGATCCCCAAACTGATGACAAGATGGAGCGGGGACCCCCTTATTATATATATTGTATAAAATTGTGTTATATCAAACCGGTCCTATAGTCTATTACAGATGAAGTAATGTAACAGAAGTAATTTTGTCCTGGGATTATTAAAGTATTTTTGATTCTGATTCCTGGTTGATGGGACAGGTGTTGTGAATGAAATGGTGCCCAGCTAGAAAGAGCTCCTGTATGTCGCTGAATGTGTGCATTGATGACTAAAAGACATCTTCTGCCTCCATTTATCTGTTTACTACAGTGTGTTAAAGTCATGTTAATGGCTATTTAAAGAAAGCTCAATTAGTGGGAAAAAATTGCAGGGGGGAATATATATAGAGAAAAAAAAAAAAAGTCTAATCAACCAAATTTTTTGCCAGCCCATGCAGTACTTAGGAATCTAGGCAAGACAATTTGCTGATTGAATAAGATGATTTGTTTAAAAAAAAAAAAAAAAATGTGTCTAATTATTTTTGCTTTAAGGAGATAAACCTTCCTTTGGCAGATCATCTTATTTAATTGCTCGTATTAAGGCAAATGTGCAGATTTAAAAAAGAAACTTTTTAGTTCAGCTTTTGCCGTGGAATAGTAAATTAGTTTATGTTATGCACTGACAAAAGAGGCCATATCTCTTTAGTCCCTTAGATAAATTTAATATTTCATCTTTACGATTAACTTGAATCATAATTTAGAAACTGCAGACTTTTAGCGCACTTAATAAACTAAAAACTGTTCCTGTGCTATTCTTTTTTTGGGTGTGTTATCCTTTCATTCGTTGCCCCCATTTGAAAACAATGGCCACAAACTGGCCTCCTTTGGTACATTTCTGATAGAACCGCCACTGGAGTTTGGTATTTAAAATTAACTCCCTTAAGTAAAAAAAAAAAAAGGAGGTATTTACCCTAAATGATAAAAAACAATTAGTTTTTTTCTACATTCACAGTTCTGTGTACAAAAAAGAGGCTAATTGTTGTCTTATCTTCACAGTCTTTTTCAAAACAGAAGTCCTGCATCATCAGATTAAATATTTCAAATTTCTGGTATTTAGAATTAAAGTTGCAGAACATGAATCGAAATTTTAACAAAATCAGCTTAAAGCCTATTTAAATTGTAAGGAGGGAATTGATGTGGAATCAGATCTATCATCCGTAATGTTTTTAGTGTTTAATAAATATTCAAATCAATTCTAAAATCTGCGTAATTATCTCATATTATTTTATTTTATTGCATTTAGCATCAAGTGAGATCAACTTTTTCAAATAAAGCTTTCTCCTTCTGATTTTTTATTTGTGTGCTCCAACATCAAGATATGAACTAGAGCAATTAAAAAATACATAATACTGGTTTACAGACTGCATACTTTCCTTCTTATTTTTCCGTTTAAAGTGATTAACAGGTCACTCTTTGGCTTGCCAGTAAAATTTGATTTTAAAAAGCTAAACATAAATGATCCAAAAGCTGTGAAAAAAAAAAGTCTCCATTGTTATTGTGGATAAAACCAGATCCAACTAAAGTCTGCAGATAAGAGCCAAATTGCTCTCAATATCAATATTCTGTCACTGTAAACGTATGACAATTCAAATTGACAAACATTATTCCTATGGATTATGAAAGTCAGAATGTTTACATTTCACAAATAAAAACAAACTCAATGACTGTTTGAAAGTGTGTTTATTGAAAATGCTAAAAGTTCAAGCAAAGCAAAAATTACAAATTATTCCCAGAATTTAACCCCCTTCCCAACCTCCCATATATTTTTTCAAAATTCCCTCATACCGGACATCTACGACTCCATCCTTTGATCCAACTTCCTGGTCCTCTGGTTTTCTTCTATAATAAAGCCATTGGGGCCTAAACCAAAAGGGCCAAAAAAGAAGAAAAAAAAAAAAAAAAGGTGCTCTGGGACTCCCATTATTTTAGTTCTGATAAATTTGAATCCTCGAAAATCTGCTCCCGTTCCCGGGCATCCATCTTTGCCTATCCCTTTCCTAATCGATCCACTCATCCAGCTCCAAGGATTGGGATCCATTGAGCCACTCCTCCAATCAAAACCTTGAAATACCAGGAAGAAAATCAGAGGCAGACTGTTAGAATAAAATGTCAAGAGTTTTGGGCCTATTTTTTTTTCCACTGTACACTCAAATGAAAAAAAAAGAAACCAATTCCTGACTTAAAAAGCATTTTTAACCAATGAGGATGCTTAAAACTGGGATGCTTTTGTAAAAAGCAGTTCAGTTTTTTTTGGGTTTTTTTCAACAGCAAGGATTACACTTACATCTCAACACTTGATTTAGGACTGCTTATTCTGTCAGAAACCAGAGTAGCATGTTACAGACTGTCTTAAAGTACAGCACCAAAATCTGTTAAATAACATGCACGATATAAAAACCTGTCAAAATGTTGTTTATGGAATATGAAGCATACCATTGCCTCGACCTGATTGCTCCTAGATGTCCTATCCTCCTCCTAGATGTCCTATTTGTATCCTGACCATACAAATGAAATGTGCTCCACAATGGTTTTATTCCAAATCACTTTAATCCTTCTCCTCAGATGTCTAAAGGAAGACACAAGGGTAAAATACAGTTAAGCATCTGGCTTCCAACCAAAAAACAACCCACCCCACATATATCCAAAGATAGGATATTGAAATAAAAAAGAAAAGAAAACGGAAACTTCAGACTTGCAAAAACATTGAGTGCGAATCTTACAACTCAACATTTTTGAAGTTCACCACAGCACAACTCGTAATGTTCAAAATCTGAGATGACAAGAAGGGGAGAGAATGAAAGAAAACGGAAGGGAAAGGAGGAGGGAGAGGAAAGGGGAAAGTTAAGAAAGGGAGAAGGGGGTTAAGGTTACATCTACATACCAAGATCGTTCACAGGGACACCAGGACAAGAAAAGCGAAAAAATAAAAACCAATAGACATCTGGAGAAAGTCAGAGGTAAAAACATGAGGGAACATATCAGAGGGGCAACATATTTATGACGGCAAGGTTTTAAGAACGGGAGCGAGAGCGGCTGTGGCGGGGTGAGTAGCGGGGAGATCCTCGGCCGCGACCACGTGAATTGCTCCGACTGCGGCTGGCGCTGCGACTGCGGCTCCTGCTTCTGCTGCCCCGGCTGCGGGAGCGGGATCTTCCATAACTCGGGCTGCGGGGACCGTCTAATTTCACACGAATGTAAGCAGTTTCTCCCTGGCAGACACAAGAGAACTTGACATTGAAAAGGCAACATCCCTGCCTCCGGTGGAAATACAGATGGGTACTTATGGGCTGGGTGTATAACAAGTTAAAAAAAAACAAACAAAAAAAACAGCCCTTTTCGAAATACTCACCGCGACACAGCAAAGAATATTTATCCATGACAGTTAATCAAATCCGTACACATACCTCATGGGAGCGGAATTTGGTGTTGTCCAGTTTTCGGACGGCATAGGTCATGTCCTCTTTGCGCACAAACTCTACTACTCCGGTTCCGTCTCTGTAAACGTCGGCGTAGCAGACATCACCCGCCTCGCGCATGTGGTCCTTCAGGTCCTGCCAGCTGCCGCTCTGAGGAAGACCTGAACAAAACAACACGTGACGCGAACTCTGAAAATGTGTTAAAGTGAATACGTGCAAAGAATATTTAAAAAAACTGTTTTGATTGTTTTACTTAGAAAAACAACTTCCCAACTTGCTTAAAGACAAAGTAAAGGTTAACCTTCTTTAGGGTAAATTGCAGTCAGATCAGAGATAAAGAGTAGCATGCTGTGTTAGCATAATATTTACTTGCAGACAACCTTACTGTTTCATCCTGAGAGAAAGCTAAATCTATTGTTAATAATTCAGTGCAAAGTAGCATGTGAAAAAATGTTAGTGTATGCCATTATTTCAAGCTTCAAACATGCTTGTGGTTTTAGAGAGGCTGTTATTGTGCCCCGAGCCTCATATTTTGGTCTAAGAGTTCTGGTATTAAAATAATGAAACAAAACATAAATGCTTACTTGGTATTTTGGTTTAACTTAGCTCAGATCTACCATAAAAATAAAACAAAAAACACTCAAATTGAGACTAAATAATTTTCCACAGACTTCTTTAAGCACTGATTTTATAAATGTCGTCTTTTTATACAAAACAAAATTATATAAATTTTAAATTTGAAGTATATCAAAGGATATACTCCAAACTTAATCAGGATCAGTGATGTAAAATGTGTTTTTCTAGGCATTTTGCCTAACATGTTCTTCATGCAATTATAACAATAAGCTGGATTGTTACACATAAACTTTTGTGCTCTAATTTTCTGCTTCAATCCACTTCCCACATTACATGTTAATGAGATTCCAATAGTTTCAAAACTTAGCAGAAGGGTGATATCTGCTATTGTCCGGAATTATTTATCCTGTATTTTAAACCCGTTTATATATAATTCATATCCTAACTATCATGTATAATCTATATAAAGTTTTAATATTTCCTTATTTTATAGCCTCTTGCAATTACTCTCTGTTTATATTTACCATTTATAGTCAATACATAGATAGTCTGTGCACATGTAAATAAATATTTATATCCTGTATAGAACTTCTGGATAGATGCAAACTACATTTCCTTACTTTTTTTCATTGCAAGTAGGCACACTGGCTTGTTTTTTTTTTTGTTTGTTTTGCTTCAACAGTTACTAGCCAACTAAGGCATCAGTTAATAATGACAAGGTGTTAGTCAATACTGTGGCAACTGTGGAGCATTTTTAAGTTGTTTTAAGCATTGGTGCTTTAGCAAGTAGCATTAGGACAGTTGGCATTTAGCATCGGTCAGAATTTAGTTTCAGAATGTGTTTACCATGCCATGTAATGGCTGGTTTACACAGTGAGATTTAACATTGTTTGTGGGGTTTTAAAACCCAAGAAATCTCCCAGGTGAAGAAAACAATACAAAAAAAAAAAAACATAATTACAGCAGGTTGGGGCTATGAAGATTGTTGTATAGCCACATATCAAGCAAAACACCACACAACACAAGAGATTAGACTGAGAAAATTCAGACGACAGAGCTCACAAAATGTTTTGAGATTAAATGTGAGTTCACTGGGAAATTAACATTGCTGACGAGGATAATCTAAAATAAAAATTAAAAATCTGTCCAAAATGCAGATAAATAAATAAGACCTTCAATTTTAACTATAGATTATATTAATTTTTCCAACGTTTTACTGTCATTACACTGTCGCAAGCACAGAGCAACAAAATCGACCCTCTGCATTTAACCTATCCCCTTAAGGAGCAGTGGGCTGCCATTGTGCGGCACACAGGGAGCAGTGTGGAGTTAAAGGAATAGTACACCCAAAACATGATTAGCCTTCATTTTCTACTCACCCCCATGCTGAACAACACTCTGGAGTACTTTTTTGATATCTCAAATGCATCTGGAGATCTGGGAGGCTTCTTGCTGTCTGCTGACATTCAAATAATGGAGGTCTGTGGCGCCCTAGGCTGAAAGGTCCATAAAAGTCCACAAAAAACGTGTCAATATTCCTCCATGCTGCTCGTCCAATGTATTCCAAATTTCCTGAGTGGGTAGCATCCAGAATTTACTCGAAACCAAGTCATTTAGAATGTTTTTAGAGCATAAACAGTAGTGTATAGGATTTTCTGAAAGCGCGCACATGCGCGATCACGACGCTACGGAAGCCGGCAGACCAAACCAGCGCATTCAGCTCGGCAAAGAACTCATGCTCATCCTCAACACTGAAGTCCTCAGACATTTTTCTTTCGTTGTTTCTTTCTTTGCACAGGTAAACAGCACATTTCTTCTTCTACGCTTGCATTATTGGCAGAGCAGACGCTGAATGCGCACTTTCATCTGGTTTGGTCTGCCGGCTTCCGTAGCGTTGTGTTGTTCAGCATGGGGGTGAGTAGAAAATGAAGGCTAATCATGTTTTGGGTGTACTATTCCTTTAAGGGTCTTGCTAAGGGACCCAGAGGGACCCGAGGGAATGGGGCTTGAACTCAGAACCTAAGGATTCCAAGCGTAACGCTCTCACCACTCACCAGGCTGCCACTCAGCCATCTGGCAGGCACCCATATTAGATCTTAAACTCCAACATGCATGGATGCCTCTGGGTTATGGAGGTGATGCAAACTCGGTAATATCTAACTTGGAGCATGACTTACCTTGGGGGCAAAAACAATTGAATTTTTGCTTAAGACATCTACGGAGTAAGGTTAACATTAACATAATATTTTACTGAGTGAAGGACAATATGCTGCACACTGGATTGTTCATTTACCTGACACAACGACCCTGTACTCCGAGCGTCTGGATGGAGGCCCATATCTGCCCCTGGGTGCGCCACCAATTCCTCCATAACCACCTCTGGAGCCTCTGCCGCTCCTTGGAAACTCAACCCGCAATCTGTAGCCATCGTAGTCGTACCCATCACGCCCGTAGACTGCATCATCAGCGTCCCTGTATTTAGGAAATAGGTACATACAAATCAATACAATTCTTACAGTACTGGTGATTGCACATTGCTCAATCAAATTTAATGTTCAAGTTAGGGCTGAAACAATTGATGGGATTAATCGCTTATTGCAATAGTCATCAACTAATTTAGTAATCGATTAATCGTTAACTGGAGCGTAGGGACTGTAAAACATGTCTTTAGCTGTCAGAGTAACCCACTTAGAGCACCAATTATATCAAAATTGTAAAAAAAAAAAAATTTAAGATAAAAAAATAATTAAAAAATACAGACAACACTGCAATTTTACAGCTACAGCTTGGATATCTAAGAGCGTAAGCACATCACCTCAGATCTTCAAACTCCATGAAATTGACAGACAAAATGTTTTTGTCTGTTAAGTTGCTCTATCCAGAACTCCTCAAGTGGGAAAGCTATTTTTGCACCTGGTTTCAATTCCTGAAAAATGTCCTATAAAGAACCTTTGACTATCTAAATATTGATCGATTTATGACAGCTTAATGGATTTGCATAATAAATCGTTAGAGAAATTACACCAGTCTACTTTCCGTTTGTTGATTCAATCAAGGGAAACACTATCTGATCAGAGTGCAGAGCCATCCTTTTATAATGGATCAAGGTGCTTGTACAATATTTAAAACATCCTTGTGTTTTGATTAAAAAAATAAAAATAAAAAAATAAATAAAAACATGTGCTGCGAAACATCAGCTGATGACAACAACTGTAGCTTGACAGAAGTGGGCGGGTTGACTTGGCCGAAGCAAGGAGTTTGTGTTTCTACGGTGGCCGATAGTTACTAACAAGGGGAGGAGCTTGCATGAGTACGCTCGTTTATTTTCTTTGTTTTTGTTTTTATTGTTATGTTGTTTCGTTATTTTGTCGTTTGTTTGGGTGGTGTGAAACAGTGTGGGAAAGAGGATCAAAGTTACACCACCAAAATGGCGCATGCTGATGTATAGCACCTTTATTGTAAAGGCTGTAAATGCATAAAAGCAAAATTGTACTACCAGACACACATGTTAAAAATAAAATAAGAGGTGCTGCGGCATGAACTATATACAGTGTGATGCTAGAAATTAGGAAAGACACAGAAAAAGCCAAACCACAGTTTGGAAAACGGGAACAATGCTGGTCCAGAAAATAGCCTGGTCCCCGAGCAACGCGTTAACAACACAATAAAACTGGCTTGGACGGCTAAGAGCGTTAGCTCCCTCACCTCGGATCTTCAAACTCGATGAAGGCGAACGGCGGGCCTCCTCTGCGGTTCTTCAGGTCGATGTCTCGGATAGTCCCGTACTTGTAGAACACGTCCTCGACATCTTTAGTGCGGATGTCTGGTGGTAGATTCCCTACGTAGATTCGGCAATCATTGTTCCCAGCGGGGCCTCGCACTACACCCGACATGGCTACTGCTAACGTATCAAACTAACCAACGACAGGCTATTTACAGTCTTCCACCAAATGTACTATCCAGCCCCCCCTAAACACCTATAGTTACTCCGAAGTTATTACTATCAAACGAAAAACTAATCGGTCAGATATTAAGAAAAGCCTGTAAACCGTGAAACAGACAACTACCATCCAATGTGAGGATCACTACTCAGCGCTCCGTTAGTGAGAGGCCGTAGGTCACACAATTCCACCAGACTCGACACATCCGCCACAGAAAATAGTGCGATAGAATCAAACTAGAGTCGTGGATGTGACAAAACGAATATAATAATTATTTTCATTTTAAATGTATAATGATCATTCGCTCTCTACTGGTTTAACGATATATTGCGCAAAAAACACCTCAATATTACTTTTAAAATACCCTTTTTTACTTTTTCACGGTCTCATCTTTAATGCATTGTATTGGGATGTAAAAAACAAAAATTTAGAATTATTACTATACCAAAAATATGGTTTGTATTTGGTTATATATGTATTGATTTTCTACGTGTGTTGTGTTTTATTTGTTTTTTAATTTGTTGTTTTTTGTTTGTTTGTTTTTGGTGGGTTTTTAGATGAAAAGCTTTAAAAGCTTTTAAGTCTAATCTTCTCTCGATGCAAAAAATAGAAAATGTTGTTCGGTAAACAAGTCAAACAAATCTAATTCTCCAGATATGTCCTTTTATCTCCACATTTAAAGAAATCAGACATGATTCTTTGTTTAGTAAATTGTAAATCCAGGCATTTTTCTATTCCCTCGATTTTATTTTTGTCTGATTATATCCATAAATTGCCTTAAATTTAACAAGAAGGCTGTGGCAAAACATAAACAGTGTTGATTACCTATTGTGTATTTTTTTTAAATGTCAAGATTAATTAGCAGCGACTTATTTACGTTAGAAGAAATACAAAATGTAAAATTTTTTAATGTCAACATTTTTCAGTATAACTATATCAAATAAGAATTAATATATTAATAAAAATGTGTTTTCTATTCTAGGAATATTTTGGACACCTTACCTCCTAATGGCTTGGGTTAAAGCCTTTGGCTGAAAAAAAATCACTAAGAAATTCAATGTTTTTTCTTTTAATTTCTATATTGCTTTTTTGCTTATTTATCTATATTGTTTTTTTATGTTAGTGCATTTAATGGTGTTTGTATTACTGCTTTTTTGCAGCAATTTTGTCCTGTTGTTTTTTTTAAAGTGCTGTTTAAATAAAGTTGGATTATATAAAATGGGATTGACATTAAAATGTGTATTTTACTGAACATTATTTCAAAATATTTTTTTGATTTTCGGCAATTTATATTTTGTAAACTATAAAAAGTATACATTACCTCATGTACATTTCAGATTTTCACAGAGCTGTGTGTTGTATCAAAAATTAAAAATGTGTGTATTTTGTGTTAAAACAAACAACAAAGGTTTTTTTTTACCTTTCTATATCTATTAGGCAGCAGGATTAGAATAATCAGATCAATGCTTCTGTTTTCTAATAGCACTATAAAACCTACAGTAGGTCAAGTAAAACTTCAATATAAAGGTTCCCTTGAATTTACACATCAGCAAACTCTTAAATTTTTGCTACAGTTTAGGTCTTATAATGAGAGACTATATATCTCTATACTCCTGCTCCATGTCAAAGTTGATGTTTTATGTTTGTATAATTTAATATTATAAGATTTATTCTTAATAAGCAACATTATTTTTACTAGTATTAGCAGCCGTAGTAGTAATAGTAGTGGCATTTAAGTATCAGTAAGTTATAATTTCTTTATTTGTTGCATTTTATTATAAATTCCTTTAATTCATCCTTTTTACAAAAATTTATTAACTTGTCATTTTTATGATTCATATTTTATTCTTGCTTCAGATGCCAAAATGAAAGAAACAGAATTCACTGCAATGACAAGAGAAACAACAAGATGCTGAGCCATTTATTGGTCAGACAGTCTTTTAGTGTAGTATCAATGTGGTAGATCATTAGTAATATGCAGGATTAGTTTATACTTATTAGCTATATTGATGCAGAGAGACCGTATGGGATTCCCTGGGCTAAAATACAACAGAAAGGTTATAAAGTAACTAAATTTGCCATCATATCAGAAAAGAGAAATAGAAACAGATAAAAATATGTAAACTAAGGATTCTGCATCATTTCCCACACTGGGTCAAAGTCATTGTTTGCCTTTATGTAACGGATGTGAGAGACATGCAGCCAAATAGGATAGAGTGACTGATCATCAGTTATGATCAGTCACTCTTTTTTTTTTTTTTCTTCTGGCATTTTCTAATGTCTCGGTTTAGGATCTGTCAACCATTAACAACAAAAAATAACAAGCAGCAGGAAACATTTTGATCCAGTACAGAGCACCTGTTGTGAAAGAAGCCGGTGTGCAGTGAAGTGAGGAGAGGGACACGCTCTATCCATCAGGGTTTCACACAGGTTGAGCAACCAGGGGGCCATCCCAGACCCCGGATGGTCAGCCTGTTTCCTCTTAGTCCAACTGCTGCACCTGCGTAATGCATTTTAGAGTAATGTGAAATACCAAGTCAAAGCAGTGAATATATGTAAGGTAGAAATAAATAGTTTCCATCCTCTCTGAGATTTTTGTAGAGTAAATTTCATTAACCTTTCTTTACTCTGACACCCCTAAATATAATCCAGAGAAACCAATTACCTTTGAAATGATGTAAAGATGTGATGATGTGGCAGACTGAAGTTTAAAATGCTTCTCTCTCGTTTGTCAGGGTCACTTCCGGAGAAGTGAGCCCGGTTGGTAAGCAGCTGTTTTCTTTAACTCTAAGCAACTTCTCTGATCTGAGTAAGATTACAATTTCTATCAAAATCAGTTGTCATTTCTCATGGTTGTTTAATGCATATAAGTAAAGAAGTGTTATTCTTTTTTTCAGGAAAAAGAACCGGAGAGAGAAAGCTTCAAGGTGTAGCCACAGAGCATTCCTTTAACAGTGTAAGTAAATGTGTTAGGCTTGCAACAATTTTAAGAGTAGGGTGGAGGTTCACCTCCAAGGACTATGGCCCTAAACGTAAAGAATAAGTTGCAATGCTAGTGAATCCTTCTGTTGATCACTGATTAAAGCATCAATACTGTTGTCTCCAAGCGGCATGCTGTGAGAACACCTGACCCTAGTTGACCCATTAATTTACGTGATGCCATTGAGTGCAACATACTGATGTCAACACATTGTGCCAATCTTGTTTGATCTAACAAGCCCAAATAACTGTTTACATTCGATAAACATGGTGCAGCACTGGTGATAGGGATTCGGACAGATAAAAGAGCAAAAGAATAAAGCACAATTACTACTCTCTGGCTTCCTTACATGTTAATATAATAATAATTGAAATTTATTGATCCCATATTGGAGAAATTTAGCTCTGCATTTAACCCATCCTCTTGGAGAGCAGTGGGCTGCCATTGTGTGGCGCCCAGGGAGCAGTGTAGGGTTAAGGCTCAGAGAGCCAGAGTGGCAGTCTGTGGGAGTGGCGCTCAAACTCAGAACCTCAGGATTCCAACCTCTATGCCCTAACCACTAGGCCGCCACTCCACCCAGTGTTGCTCTCCATTGTTTACTTTCCTGATTTTTGTCGCACTGCTGACATAATCAACGTTAACCCAGCGTGATTGTGTCACCAGAAATGCAGCGGGCGGGGACAGAGGTCACACAGCTTGCCAGAGAGGAGTTAGAACCAGCTATTTTCGCCATTGGTAAGGGAGCCAAATGCTGATTGTCAGCAGGTCGACCCATGTTTGAAAAACTTGGGTTAACCCGCTATTTTCACTGGAAATGAGGCTTTAGTGATGTTACATACTGTGGAGACTGTATACAAGACTCTCAATTATTATTATTTATTGTCTAGATTAGTATCCTTTTGTCTAGATTAGTATCCTTTTTTATTTTTTACTGTATCTGTGTAGTTTCAAGTTCCGCCACTAGATGGCCCTCAGACTGCATTAATGCATAGATTTCAGTATATTGTTCTTTGGAGAGAGATTAGCATGACACATATCGTTTAATCTATTCTCATGCTGTTACCAATATTGAGGAATATTGATGACACCCTGCAGTGTTTGCTACATTTTCTGTAAACACACATTCCTCATTAAAAATCATTAAAAAAAAATCTAATTCAAATCTAATGCCAAATAGAGGAAATGTTTTAAATATTGTAATTTCCAAAAACCCTTTCTAATGTGATACTTCAAAATGTGTTTCCAAAGTTGTTGATATGAACACAGCCACAGTCCATCCCTGGTTTTGACCAAACGAGGCAACCTTTTTTTACATGCTTCTCTTTAACTAAGCCTTACATTATGAATAAGTTTTCTCAAGTGAAAATATATCAATTACAAATAGCAGATCGTCATATTTATAAAACACATACACAGCTACTACATTGTTTTCCATTTATTATTCACTAGTGATGTTCCTTACTTTGTTCCTGGAGCTTTAAAACTTTTGCACTGTTCCATATGGCTTCACCTTCCTACTCCACTATTTAGCCTTTTTTCTCATCACCTTGATATTTGATACCCCACCACCACAATTATTGAAAAACTTTTATGCCTTACTTAGAGTTCTGTATGAAATATTATTAAAATAGTCGCTAGCAAGTCCTGCTGTCCCCTAAAAGGGACATTAAATAAAACTTCTGTTTTGAAAGGCTAATTGTTATTGTACATTTCCACAATTTTACAAACTTAAACTACAGACTTTTAATATATACCCTTTAACTGCCTGCTCAAATAAATTGTGACAATTTGCTAGGCAAAATGCAGGTTGGAGGATGACAAGGCAGTTAAAGGATTAAAAAGAAAGTTAAATATTTGTAACAGATGTGTGTTTTCTTTAGATAACTGATCATTTACCTTCCCTACTGCCAAATAACATGGATGCAGGGCTTTCCACCATTTTGAGATGACAATGCATGTGCTCTTTTAGCCTAACCCCCACAAATATGACATCAGGATAATATTTGCAATAGAGATCAAAACATCTTGTCCCCTACAGGGAACAACAATATATTGGTGGGTCTCAGGAAGATAAGAAATCAGGCACTCTGTATGTTGGTCGTAAACACATTGATAGCACTGATACTGAGATTAGGGTAAATGTTGGGATGGTTCACAATTATGGTAATGTCACAATGGAGATGTGCAAAATATTCAACTAAATTTAAGTTAAAATTGAATCGAGACAGTAATGTAATACCACTGCTGAGTATGACAAACAAAAATGTGTTTTCTAGCTTAGAAAAATGTTTGGCCACCCTATCCCTTTAATAGCTGATGTTCCCCCCTTTGATTGACACATTTCCCCAACATGCTCTTCAATCATCTTCTAATATGTGGAACAATTTTGTATTCTGTGTATAATAAAATGTTGGTTTATTCCAACCATTTCCTCTGTTACAGTGTCCATGTATTTTATCTTCAGGTTCATCTGTGCACAGAAATTCATCCCAGAGGTCAAGAGACGGCTTTTTGGTTCTCACCTTTGTGTTTACTCCCTATTTTAGCAGCCATGAGCACTCCAAACTAAAGAAAAAAACTATTGAAAAATCAAAATGCTAAGTCATGGTCAATGGTATGTTTTAATTGTTTCCATCTTCATGTGCTGTGTTGTGTGGTGGTAAGCTTTCTAATTAATTAATATTTCTGCAGAAATTACTTTTTTATTTTAATTTTAAAATCAATAGAAATTTTTCAATTTTGATTGTTTCTTTATAAGTTTTATTTTTCAACTTCTGCTCTCTGTCAGTCTAACAGTTTTAATACAGAGGATCCTCATGCCTTAAAACCTGTTTAAAAGTAATCTGTAATTATTATACAATATTCTGTGCAGTATTGACCTCTCTCCTTTGATTCTTGTCTCAGTTTGGAGTGGTGTTAAAAAAAGAGGGAAAAAGTAAATGCTATTAGTTTGGTTTCTGAAGATGTTATAAATTTCTAAATGTATTTTAAATATTGTCTGTTTACTGGACAATGATCCACCTCACATTTGATGTATTTTCCTACTGTAGTCAACACAAAAGGGTGTCTACCTCTTATTCATTTGTCATGCAAATAGCCTCCTGCCTTGTCAATAAAAAAATATTGATAATAGAGAGTTTCCTGGTTATTCGTCAGATTCCAGTTCATAGCAGGCTTGAGTGTTGAAGATTCCCAGTTTGCTCCTGAACACCACTTACTTTTTCTAAACAGTTTTGTTTCATCTTTTCCTCACAGGTTCGGGGCTTCTTTTCTGTAACTTGGTTAAGTGGTGTCAGCTGAGTATCTTTCTATTTTCATTAATCTTGATGGAGATGCTTTAGAAAATTTTGCTATTCATTTTCCTGGGGGAAAATAAATGGTAAACTTCTTCTTTGGGCACACTTGTATCAAAAATAGTGGTGGGCATAGATTTTTTTTAAAATATAGATTAATCTCACTGTAATCTTGGAATTATGTCTATCTATGTTAATCTAAAATTGCTCATTTTATTTTCTGCCAAAGGCATTCATGATATGTGTGTGCTACCTACAGAATTTAAAAGAAAAGGTTTACTCTTTTTTATGTTTGCAAAATCACACGTGATTTTGTCTTCTTAAGATTTTGACAGTTATAAATACTTTTTTGCTATTTTGTTACTGTGTTTTTGCTGCAAAAGGGTGTCCCACTTCCAATTATAGCTGTCCAACTTTAACAATATAGTGTCTCAAAAAATCTGACACACGTCGCCGCGATCAACTTCTCATCTTTCGCAGCTTTCTCGGTGGCTCGTCGTGTATTCTGATTATAGTTCAACTCGCAGGTAGTTTGAACGATAGATCACCTGTGGCCACCTGGAGAACGAGCTCGCTGGCAGCTTGTGGCTTTCCACCTAGATAAGATTGGTTAGCTTGGCTAACCATGCTAAAAATATCGAGGTTAGAGTCATCATTAGTATAGACCCAGCTCCCAACACAACGGGCACATTTTTTTGGAGTTTGGCTTGGCACCTTAGTTTGAGGGAGAGGAACTCTGAATGCTTCACCATACTAAAGCATTTTGGAAAATTCCATGTGGGAATAGTTTGCAGCTGGACCATTCTCTTCCAATAAGACTGTGCATCAGTACACAAAGCAAGGTCCATAAAACATGCATGGTAGAATCTTGTGTGAATGAACTTGAGTTTACTGCAAAGAGACCTGACCTCAACCCCACTGAAACACCTTTGGGATGAATAAGAACAGACTAAATAAACATGCATAAACACACTGAATACCTTGTGGACAGCCTTCCCTTGAAAAATAAAAATTCCATCAAGAAGATGTAACTAAGTTTTTAAAGCTCTCCTAATATGCAGTTTTTTTTGTCACTGTCAGATTCACCATCTTGAGAGAGAGTCCAATATATACATTGCATACTGTCAATAGAAACGTCAAAAATCCTTCTGTCCCCAAGCGAAAAATAATTAATATGTTGCATATAACATACTGTTGTCAGATGTCTCCAAAAACAGAGCTAAGATGAAACATTGTTTCAGACACAAGCAGTGCAACTGTATCATCAGAAAGAGCAGCAGAAGCGGGACGTGGCAGCCAACAGCGAAAGATCTGATAAGTGCGCTGGGCAGACCGGGTGCTAAAAATCCTGTTCAGTGTGTGTCTTATAGTATGAGGTTGTTCTTACACAATGAAAACATAAGAAAGGGAATAACTTTGCTCGTGAATCTAAACCATCCCATAAAAAACAGACTTAACTTCACCAGCATTTTTATTGCATTAGATTTCAACCAAATTCATTTTACAGATAAAAATCTTGTAACAGATAAGGGCAGTGGGGAGCGCAGAGGCTAGTACCAGGGAATATATTTTTATCTGTGCATGGCCACTACTAAGCTAAGCTGAGGTGCACTTCTGAAGAAGTGATGAAGAACAGCTTTAGCACATATTTAGCAACTGAAGCTATTTAGAAGATGACATGTTTTGATATTGACTTTAGTCAGAGCTATAAGGCCAAAACCATCTCATAGGATTTAAGCATTTACTGTTTGAGAACAGTAATACTGTTTAGCCTTAGTTCATCGACCTTATGAACTGACTTTGCACACATTATGCAAAGAAAGTAGAGAATTCCCTTCAGATATTAGAAATCCTAAATACGTTCCCGATTGTCTTCGGTAAACAAGGCAATAAAACACTGTTAGCTGTTTTCTTTCAAGATATTCATGTGTTTCATTTGTTCTTATCTATTCTAAGTAGTGTTGCACCGATACGATACCAGTATTGGCGGGCTCTGATACTGTCCTAAAATGGTGGTATCGGTTTCGGCGAGCAACAACAAATATGGCAGCGATACCATTTTGAGAGACAAAAATTTCTTCAACTATTGTCATCCATTCCAGGTAGGCAATAAAAAGTTCTACTGGATTCACTTTGTATTAGTTTTTTTCCTGCTTCACGGCAGCTTGACAAAGCCATGATGGCAATTATTTTACACCCAATTAGTACGCAGTTCTTCATATATATACACACACACATCACTTTCAAACGGATGGTATCAGTATGGTATCGGTATGATATCGACCAATACTGCACAGCCAGGTATCAGGTATCTGTATCAGGGCCAAAAAATGGCATCAGCGCAACACTAATTCTAAGTTACTACAGTTAAATTAACCTGTGATACATCTTAAGAAATGAAGCTTAATGCTACTTAAAATGGAAGATGTTTTTTCTTTTCTTTTTTCTGCTCAGTATGCATGGCAGGAGCCGAAGATGCGATGGCCGGCCTCACTATAGTTGTCACCTCCACTGTATTTTCCCTGACATGCAAGGCTGTTCACCTGTGGAAAGAATGTGACACAAAGAGAGGCATCAATTAAAGCTGGGCTATAGGTGTTCTACCCACTGACCAAGTCAGGGAAAAATACCTCAGCTCGCTTAATGAACTGCTCTGTGGCAGTTTTTTCATTTTCCTTATGTCCTCTCCAGGCTCTGAGGGCTGACGCCTGCAGAGCCCTGCCAAAGGAGAAAGTCAGGACCCAAGGTTTAGCCAGAGGACAGTTGTTGATGGCATTGAGGTGGATGGAGGCCTCCTCTTCACTCTGACCTCCAGAGAGGAAACAAATTCCTGCAGGAAATAGAACATCAATGTTTGGCATCTTTTTTTTTTCCCTTGTGAAAGTTGTGATACCTGTAGAGTCTTTTTTGGCACATTTCTGAATGTTATAACTAAATGTATTATAATTATGTGATATGTCTAATGTAAAAGTTCCCACGGATGTGACCTCTCTATTTGAAAAAACAAAAATCTATTGGAGAAAAGCCACAGGAAGTTCCATTTGCAGTTTGCCATAGGTCATATAAGGAACAGAGCTGAATGGAAGACAGTGTCCTGCTCAGATGAGAACAAACAAACCTGAAAACCATCTGCAGTGCAAAAAACACAGAGGTGGTAGTATCAAGCTGCATGTATTTTTTTCTTTAGTAAAACATTAAAACTACATAGAATCAATGTCAATATGAATAGAACTACATTTATAGACATTTGGGTAGAAAAGTTGTTACAGGCTACAAAATACAAATATGGAAGATGAATACAAATATACACTAATCAAAAGTTTATGTAAAACATTTTATCTTTTATCGTGTATTCCAGAACTATGGACCAATTATTGTATTGATAAATCACATTTAATAAGAATAAATAACAAAGCAGCTTGAAGTTATGATGTTGACTGACCTGGGACGGCTGGGGGGACGGTGCGACGCATGGCGCTGACAGATGCCATCGCCACCTCTTCTGGGCTGTACTTGGTGGGGCAGCTGTGTCCAGGAGTGACCATGTTTGGTTTGAGCAGAGTGCCTTCCAGATAAACATGGTGGTCTGACATGGCCTTGTACACAGCAGCCAGCACCTAAAACACAATGTTTCAACTAGGATTTTTTTTTTTTAGCTAAAGTCTTCAATCATGTCTATTTATCATGTATATTTGGCTATATTTTTGCTTCTCAGGAACTAGATTCTGTCCTTTTTCATTTAAAGGTATAGAGGACGATATTTTATTTCCAGGTGGATAATCTAAATAAGTGGTCCTCCTAATTGTCAATCATTCTGGTGATATGTTTACGTAAGGCCATCCTACTTGCTCGTCCCGTTAACTAGCTTTTTCTGCGCATGCACATTTTCAGGGCTATATGTGTGGTGAGCTACAGTTTCAGCTCACCTTTCTCACCACTGTTTTCAAAAATGGTCAAGGGTCATAGGAGAAAAGGTGTCTACGAAGTGTACGAGAAGAAAAGAAAGGCCTCAGAAGAGGCGGATTTATCCTGGAATGCTTTGTGCGGAGAGCTCGCCTCACAAAGCATTATGGGATTTGCTGTCACAGCGGCCCGCTGTAGAGTAGCGACAGCGGAGACTAATAACAAAGTTGGCGCAGTAGTGATCAGTTGTCTGAATTCTAAGTTTACCGAGTTTGCTATAAATTTCGGTATACAGCCCCCACTCTATGTAGTGATTGAGGTATTAGGGCAGATGTTTTGACACAGTAAGCTTGTAAGAGCGATGCAAACAGCAACTTTTAAACAGAGCGTGCACGAGGAGAATTGGGATCATGCATGCTCTCGCACATGTTTGATAGGCGTTTACTCTCGGGAGCAGGTACAGGGTTGTGCATGTGCATTTTTTCTAAAGTGGAGAGGGCGGGCCTTTTAAAAAATCACAAAAATGCTCCACAATACCTTTAAGCTGGTCTTAAGATTTTCTAAATTTCAAAGCTTCTTTTAAAATTGTTATTTTTTTAAACTCTAATGACTAAAAAAAATGCATCTTTGTTATTTTCTATATGTTTAGTTGATTGTATGAGCAATATCAATATCAGAGAGGGGAGACTGAGTTAGCATCATGGAGTGGAGTCATTCAAAGCCATCACCTAAAAAATCTGGTAACTACTGGATAGTTAGATTCTCAGCTTCTTCTTCAGCTCTTAGCTTGTATGTTTTACACCTTCATTAGAGCCACAACTTTCAGATGTTTCTATATGCTGTAAATAGTATATTTCGAATAGCAGCACACCTTCTCTGTGACGTACTGGCAACGTTTCAGGTCATGGTCACCATCAGGTAGGATCTCTGGCTCAATGACAGGCACAATGCCATTCTGTCCAAGATAGTGAGGATAATTAACACACATATATTTTCCCATAAAAGATGTTCAGACCACTGATCCCTCTCACCTGCTGGCAGATGCTTGAGTAACGTGCAAGAATATTAGCATTTTCTGTGATTGCTAGTTTGGATGGGTTAGAGTCACTGATTTTAAGCACACAGCGCCACTTTGCAAAGACTGCTCCGTCCTTTTTATACTGGGCACAGCGCTCTGACAAGCCGTCCAGGCCTGTGGAAAAAACACATAAGCTGCTATGATTGACATTCTTTTAAAGAAGAGATGTTCTCCATAGATGAGGTTTGTCTGACCTTGTGTGGTGGTTTCTCCACATGTTCCTGCCAGGGGGACAACACCTTTATCAACCTGATAGAAGGAGAAACGTGAATTAATTCTGACCTGCCTCAGACTGCATGTTCAGTAGTGAGCTGACTGACCTTGACCCCAACCAGGATTCCCCTGTCCCTGATCATTTTTACAAAGGAAACGCCATTATCAGAGTGCTGGTACAGGGTCTCATGGAAGAAGATAACCCCTCCAATGCAGCTGTTGATGCGATCATCTGCACTAAAGAGGATTTGACGAAACTGTCTGCGATTTTCCTCCGTATTCTCCACCCCAACCTGGGCCAGCCGCTTAGCCATGCTGCCTGCAGATAAAATGTTTACATTCACATGTACATTTTCTTCTAGTAATATCTCCAAGGAGGTCAAGCAGAACAGTTTTGATTAGAAAATCTCTTTTTTTTTTTTTTTTTTACATGCATATGCAGGAAGGAAGCCATAGTGCTACAGACCAACAGACTCATCTGCAGCCAGGATGCCCTTCCCTGGAGAAACTATGCGTAGAGCTGTCTCATGGAGCTCCCTCTTCTGAGCCTCGGAGAGTGTTGGGAACTGGTGCGTCATCCTTGGATTGTCTGTCAGGGAAGGTTTGGTGGGGGAGCTTAACTTATGATGATTCTGTTTCTGCAGGTGAAAAAGGGCTGCAGCAAAGGCAAAGAACAGTTGCTTATTTAATACCAAAAACATTCATTTTTCACCTGGGTTTTTTATGAGCTTCATCCTTAATGTATAATGTCTCTTTTTTTAACTATTAGTTCAGATCTGCATGTGCAAAACTTTTATGCTTCTCTATCAGTTATTAAAAGTATAATACATCATAATTCTCTATTAGTACTATGACCAGATAATATGGATGTCGATTATTCCGTTTGTTTTTTTTTTCTTCTAAAATGGTTTAGTTTCCACAACTGTTTGAAAAACATATTTTCCTGAGAAAGAGTGCAAACCGTGCCATAATAAAAGCATACAAGAAAAGCTAAACAAAATGTATTTTTAATTGTATGAATCTAGTTTTATTCATGATGAATTTTGTATTTAATTAATTCTTTAGAATAGTAAACTCTAATCCTTACTGTAAACCAGGGAGTATTTTGCTGACTATAAATCCTCTGAATTATCAACCATAAACACAAGCAATTGTTAGAATATTATTATCAATTACTGACAAGTGTTTAAAACATCAACTTTTTTTGGAAAATCTTTATCAAAACAAATGTGTCAATCTTTTTTTTTTTTTTTCATCAGCAAATATCTGGAATATTTTAATTTTGTCTTTCACTCGATCATAAAGCAGGTTCACCTTCATCCTGTGCTATATTTCTTCATTAGTTGAAACCAAGGAACACATCAAATGTTAATATCAAATATAAATACATTATTAAAAAGTAAAGTGTGGTCCTCTATAACAGTAAATGTGTAAAAGCAATTTATATTTTCTTTACTTATTTTTTTTTTTAAAAATACAAAAATGGAAAAATAGTTTTGATAGTTAAATTTTTCTTAGATTATTCTAGACTTTAAAGCCTTAATTTAAAAAAATGCAAAAGATTTATAAAAGAAATATCGGAGATAATTAAAGCTTTAAAGGAAGGTTTGGGAATTTTAACCGTGTATAAAAAAAAAAAACAAAGCAAAAAATTTTAGATAAAATGCAGGTAAAATAATAACGTATCAAAAGATGGACATAATAAAACATCTTACCTGATCTGATGATTTGATGAGCAGTGATAGAGTCTCTCTGTCAGCTCCAGTTTGTATCCAACTCAAACTGTGTCACAAAGCTGCCACCCCTGGGCGGGGTTTATACACCCATCTCTGTCCTACATAAAGCAAGGTAGAAATTTTGATGAATCATTATACTATTTAGATTTTGCAACATTTACAGATCCACTTCTGGCTGTTTGTTCTTCTAATGTCTGGGTTGAACAGTATTCATTTTTCTTCTGTATGAATTGCAAAAAAATGTTTTCCAAAGGGCATCAGTAAAGTTACCTTGATCCTTTTTATACAACTTAGATCATTTCTTCCTAAGGGATGTTACAAAACCAAATAAATCAAAAACTCATCAGCAGATTTAAATGAAAGTAATCTTAATACAAGGTCCTGTAACTTTACTTATGTTTCTGTATAAGAAGCTGTCTGGATTCAGGCTACATTGCAAACCTACGTCATATTCTGCCAGATTCTTTGTCCCTATTGCAGTTTTAATTTTAGCCTTTCCCCTCTCTCCTGGGGTGTTTTATTTTTGTCTTAATTAGTAAAAAAGTGCCCAAAGGAAAGCTTCTGGTCTCCTGATAATTTTGTACTGAAACCCTCAAAGTCTCAGGAGTCATACATCCTCTAGCTTTGATTTTAAGCTTCCACCTATTCAGAATGAGACTGATTCTGAAAACAGAAATAGGAAATTATGCTTAAAACCAGGTTTTGGTGACTCATACTAAATTTGTTAATGTAGCTTTAATCGATGAAAAAGAAAACCAGTTTCAGTTTTAAGAGTGGATTTTTCATCCCCAGTGAAAGTTCTTCAGCGGCACAAATACATGTATCCCTGCTATCAGAACTCCCCCTTTCAATAAAACATCCTCACTGCTTTTATAAATAATACAACAAAAAAGAAATCTGTGGACCAACCAAAGTTCTGGATGCTTTCTTTTTTTCTACAGGATTCAATTGTGCCAAATTTGGACCAAACGTTGCAAACTGGATTATTTCAATTTTATGACTTTTTGACCATATAAAACCGAACATCTATATTTAGATTTACGTTTCTGTGGAGTGTTACGGACAAAATGAGCCTATTTTTGCCATCGTCGGTTGTGTATTGGATCGCCAGAACAGAAAAACAAAGTAGGATCTGAAAATTAGGAATTCTATGTTGATGACAAATTATTAGGCCCTACCAGCGTTTCTGTATCGTTTTATTATTAGTTAATGGCTTTTGTAGAGTATGGTTGGCTTACATTTGAGTTGATGTTCATTTTCATTTGCATTGCCTGATTCTAAAGAGGTATAATATGCTAGGTTTTAGTTTAATATTAGGGTGATATTTGATTGGGAAAAAAGTGACAACAAACCATAGCAATATCCGGCAGTAGATGTTAGGGTTAAAAGCTGGAGTTTTTCTTTAATGTCTCAGAGATCTAGTGCCCTGAGATTGAAATGTTTATTTACTTACTTTTGATAATAACACTGCTTCTATTTTGTGCTCAGTTAAGTTAGGAGAGTTCTTGCAGCCCCCGGGTGAGAAGAATCTCCTGTCTTTTCAGGGGGACTCCTCTCTTCTCTATTTTGGGTCAGTGTGCCTGTGAAATCAGATGTGGGTCACTGGACTGTGTTCCACCCACAGGGCCAAAACACAGACTTGGTGGACCTGTCTAAGACAAGGGCCTGAGAGGGAATTCAATGTCAGGGAGGAACCGACATTCTTCCATTTAGCAGACGTGGCTCCTTCAAGTGCAGCAATTATACATGGCCGGCTCCTTTGGGACTGCTGGGTTTTTTTCTTCATGTTAGCTAATTAAATAGGTTTAATAATGATACTTTATCTGGTGCTCAATTTTCCCATCTAATTATGGACGTCCTAAATGGGCTTTGGAGAGATCTTTAAATAGGTCGGGCAGAGGCTGAAAGTTGGCCAGCAAACATCCAGCGAACCACAGTCCTTATGCCGTCATGATGAAACATCGCTGAAAACTGGCTTGAAATGCACATTTGATACAACGATGTAAGTTAAAAACACTCCGAAAAAATTCAGAACAACCATCCTTTGACATGTAAAGACAGGTCATTATGAACAAATGGAAAAAACAAACATAAATAGTGGTGAACCCCAACCCGCCAAAGCTACTTCAGGAATGCTTCAGCAGCCCATCCAGGAGGTTATAAATGAACCCAGAATGGTGTCCAAAGAACAGCAGCCATTATTTTTCCTCAGCTAAGGTTCATGATTTAAGAATAAAAGATGGGGTTAAAATGGAAGACTGCTGGTATTAAATCATAAAAAACAAGGAAAGAAAAAGGAAACAAAAGACAAGTCATATTTAACAAAAACAAAAAAAAGTGAAAGCAGTGGAAAAAAAATACTCTGGACTTTTTGGTAGGTACAGTATATGCCCTGTTATACTGTACAGAACCTGACCTAACACAGCATTATATCAGAAAATACCATTGTACCTGCTGCAGTCATGGGTACAGTGTTTTGGGGCTTTTAATGTCATCAGGACCTGGATTACTATCTGTAAGAGATTGTAAGAGATGTCGGACCTCAAACAAATATGAAGAAGATCAATGAACCTAAAGCACAGCGGCACCTCCACCTGCAGACAGCTGAACATTAAAGCTGCCAAGTTATTTCTGTAGGAACAGAAGAAAGTCCATCTGCTGCATTTCAAAAAGGAGAAGAGTGGAAATTGTTCTTAAACTGTTTATAAGTAAAGAAGCACCTTTATAGATGAAAATGCAGCATAAAAATAAAACGTCCAAATATCAAATCAAACAATTTATAAATTTCACATTGTCTCTTATCTCTGGGCACGTAATCTTTTGGATGCATTGTCTGTTTTTAATGGGAATTTCTTCTGTCAGCTGCTGTTTAAATGGTTCTTATCACGTCTCAGTATCCTTCATAGTCACACCAACACATCTGCATCCTTACCTACATTTATGAAGCTTCTCTGAGGATTTCCTCCTCAGAACCTGGTGGTTCTGATCGTTATTCTATCTTTTGTCAAATATATCTGCTTTTCCTCACATCTAACAGATGTAAATAACAGACTTCAATGTGCTCCATTTGTTTTCAGCTGGATCACATGTAGCATTGTGCATTACCTAGGATACTTTGTTTAGTTTGGAAGTGTAGAGCTCCTCTTTGCTTTTTGCAGGGAACAGCAGTCCAGAAAATCTGAAAAGGTTCTCACGACCAGCAGAGGCAGGCAGACTCTCAGTTTTATCCTTTATTCAAGATAACTTCCTGTCTAAAAGTTTTAAATATCTGAACCATTATGAATTGTTATAGCAAGTTCTATATACAATTAATATTATCTTTGTTTATTATTAAGCTATTATTTAGCACATGGATACTTTCAATTTTTTGAATCCCTCATGAAATGATTTGATGTGCATCTGGTCAGTGCTAATGAGGCTATTAAGTGCAGTAACCATATTTAAAAAAAAACAAAACAAACAATGAGCATGATTTGCATCCACATCCCTGCATCCCAGGACAGGATGATGCAGATGAACATGATGCCAAACTGCGTTTTATTTTATGTACGTTGTTTTTAAAATGCAAATTACTCTCAAAAATCTTATCTTTATGCCAAAACATATTTAATGTTTGGAAATCCAATTTGAAATGAATGTTTGAGAAACAAATGTATTCCCATAGTTTGTGGACCCACCTTTGCCTCATTTCACTGATGAAATAATTAATATAAGGTTGAAATGCAATGAAAACAACTTGTTTATCTGTAAAAATAAACACTTTATTCAAAGAGTTTTATGGTTCCACTCCTGCTCTGCTGTTAAACCCACATCCTCCCTGGAGGTTAAGGTAGAAGATGGTTCAGTGAGAGTTGAAGGACAGATGAAGATGTTCTCAAGGTCAAAGTTGTCAAACGAGTCCACCGTGGATCCTCTGCTCGATTTGGCCCTCCAATCAGGGTGATTTCTTAGTTCTAGCAGGAATTTCACTGGCATTTTCTGTAGGAGGGTCGAGTCGAACGATATTCCTCTGAAGACGGTCTGCATCTTGAAACGTTGCAGATTACAAATGACTCTTTCATATAAGCTGAAGCAGTAAGGAGAGCAGTATGTGTGAACTTTTGAGCAACCTTAGGATGTAATGGGAGCTAAATGAGCTCACAGAGCAGCAGGATCAGATCAGAGCTCAGAGACTTTGGTGGAACATAAGGACAATCTATGACCTCCTTCAAAATGTTGATGTGGTTTGACTCTGCAGCCACAGGAAATTGCAAAAAGAGAAACAAAGATGTGGGAAACACCAGCATAAGCATGTATTGTGAGTAAATCTGAAAACTTTTACCTTGCCAGCACCTTGGGAAAACAAAATCCCAAGAGACCACCAGTCTGCAGCATGGCTGTAAGGATTCCTGCTTAAAACTTCAGGAGCTGTTTGAAAAACACAACATAAAGAAAGATAAATGGAAAAATGACAACAATAAAAAAAAGTCAACATATTCTTGTGAATCATTAAAGTAAAGCAAACAAAAATAATGACAACAGATTCCTCCTAGATCCTTTTTGGGTTTCATGTCAGGCGAGTTTATTGGCTAATGAAGCACAGAAGGCTGCGTGAAAACTCTCAATGGTAATAATGGCTGCACATTTATGCAGAATTTGCAGCTTAGCAGAGTGAGCAGAGCCACATGCAGCGTAAGTTAAGTGTAACATCACGGTTAGAAACCAGCTTTTTGCACCTTTCACAGTGTGGGTCAAATAAAGTTTGTTTGAAAAAGGAACCAGCCTAAAACCATCCAAAAACTGCTTCCTTGATTTTCAAGGGAAATTACAACTTCTCTATCCTCTGAAGAAAAAACTTTATACCACAGAGCTTCTGTCCACTCTATGGGACAGAGTGACTTGAAAGAAACAGAGTGTTTCATTGGAGCAAAATGTAGGATTCATCTGTGCCGTTTTGCTTGTTGACCAAAGCTCAGTCCACTCTGTGTCAAACTTCCCAAAATGATTAATGGATTGGGTTTGGCATTTCA